TATATATATATATATATAGAGTGTTCAAACGATACTTTTGTAATTTTTACTCAGTATTACACCAATTAAATTTACAAAATTCATATTTAACATAAATTTATTGAACGATAATACTTAATAAAAATTATATCGATGTCATTTGAACCCTCCTCATATATATATATAAATAAATATTATTTTCGTTTTGTGATGTATCTTATAAATTCCAATATCAATTTAAATTGGTATTTTCTATATAATTATCTATATCAAATTTAAGAAAATTTGAGAATTTATTTTTAAATGATATATTTTTTTAACGTGTAAATAATATTTCATCGCATAATAATTATAATTTTAATATAATATATTTATTCAAAAAGTAAGTTATTTAGTAAATTATATAAAAAGTAATATATTTATTATTTTCTTTAAATTATGTATAACAACTTAACACTGTAATCATTGTCGGATGAAAGAAATAATATATTTAGAAATTAATATTAAATAAATTATTGAATGAGGATAAATTGGTTTTTGGTACAAATTCTTACACATTCTCTTTAGGTATGAGGGTCAAAGTTTGAATATTTTAAATTTTTCTATAACTTTTTTTTCCATTAATTCTCTTACTTACCGAATAAGAAAAATGATAAAAATTTTAAATTTCAAGATATTTTTCATTTAATATCTTTCTATAAAGTATTAAGAAAATTTAGAAGAGGAAATAATGTTACTTTAAAAAGTTTTATTCCGAAACGAAGGACCTATTGACAAAATTCTGCTGTTTTTTCTACATGGTATTAGTAAAAAAGTAAAAAGTATAAATAAAAAATGTACATAAATATGATAAAATCCTATTACTATAAAAAGGATAAATTATACTGGTGATTTTATTTTATTTTATATTTATTCTGATCTTTTATTTTAATTTTTTTTCTTTATCACCTAAATTTAGATATATCTAATCATTTTAAAATAATGATCGATTTTAAATCTAAGAAACAATTTTGAATCTCCTAATGTCATATTACTTTATTTGTGAGATATATTTTTAACATAATTTTTACATGTTTATAATCTTTTAAAATTAGAATGTAATCGACTTTCATAATTTTGTAAAGTAAATATGATATTATAATATTTGAATTAGTAAAAAAATATTTAAAATCGTGTCATAATATTAAAAATAATCATTATTTAAAAAAATTAAATTGATTTAAATATAAAAAATAAATTTTTTTTAAACTGATTAAGATGAATTAAAAAAAATAAAATAAAAGTATAAAGTATAATTTTTAATTAAAAAAAGGAATAAAAATATAAAATAATTCATTAATTAAGGTCCACTCTGTCGTAGTTGCACTGTATCACAGAAATATCAATTTATTTATTTCTCTTATTACAGCCCAGGCCATGCTATAGAAATGCAAATAGCCGTTTCCTCTTCTCTTTCTCTCTCTCTCTCTTTGATTTTGTAAATTGTAAATACCCAGAAACTTTCATATTCATAACATATAGTGGAGTATCATATTCTTAATCGTTTTTCATAGGTATTAACGTTTTGTTGTTCTGCGTACACACCTTTGAAAACCATGAAGGTGCTTCTCTCTCTGTTGCTGCACATTGCTCTGTTTTCAAGACTCTCTTTTGCTGGCGACCCAACTCTTTCCACTGAACTTCGCGTTTCCTACACCACTGTTTCACCCCTCGGTCTTCCTCAACAGGTTTCTTATTCATCTCGCTTGCTTTTTCCATTTGGGTCACTCTACTTCATGCTCAAAGTTATTAAAAATCAGTTCTTTGACTTCTTTCTCAAAAGGGTTTTTCTGGGTTGCTTTTGTTTTCTCTCAAGTTTTTTTTTTTTTTTCTTTCTTTTGTGTTGGTACATGTTTGATGTTGAGTATGCATTCGAATTCAGTATTTTGAATTAGGTTGCTGCTAAGTTACAGAATGGGTCAAATGCTCCGTTTATTTGATCAAGTTTTTATTTTTAATCTTGGTTTTACTCATTGTTCTTTTCTTGCAAAGTCGCTTCTGTTTTCTTTTGTTCTCTCTCAGTTTTTTTTTTTTTTTTTTTTTTTTTTTTTTTTTTTTTTTTTTTGTGTGTTAGTATTTGTTAGATGTTGAGGATGCATTCGAAATCAGTATTTTGAATTAGGTTGCTGCTAAAGTACAAAATGGGTCAGTGCTCTGTTTATTTGATCATTTTTTTTTTAATTTTGGTTTTACTCATTGTTCTTTTCTTGCAAAGTCGCTTTTTTGAAAAAGTCTATAATAAAAAAAGCTATTAGGTTGTTCAGGGGCTCTACACTATCTGTGTGAAGATTGAAATTGATGGAGAGGTTGAGGTGTGACCTTGTGGTATTTTAATGGAAATTTGTCAGATTTTACACATGGTTTTTGGAGTTCCCCTCCCCCCGACTTTTATGTTAGTTTCTCATTTTCTTGTAGTTAAATGTAAATTTCTAGTTTTTTTCTTTTTTAAATTAATTTTCAGTAATTTTATTTTACGGCAATGCATGTTTTAGTTCTCTCAATTTTGGGTCAAAATTGGTCTTAGTTCCTATACTTTAAAAACGATTTTTTAGTAATCATATATTTCTTTTTTACTATTTGGTGAATTTCATCCCTTGCCACAACTATCAAAGGTACAAAAACCAAAAGCATGTTTTTCAAAGAATCGGGGTTAAGACCAATTTTGACCGAATATGAAGAAACCTAAAACACATTTTTCTCTTTTGTTTTTTGTTTTTATTTTGTTTTTGTTTTTGTTTTTGTTTTTTTTACTTCAAGTCATTGGTGTAATATGATTTATAACAGAGTTTGGTTGATTTAAGTGTTGGAAAAACATGATTGCAGGTCATAGCTATCAACGGGAAGTTTCCAGGACCTCTCATCAATGTTACAACCAATAACCATCTAGTTGTGAATGTGTTCAATGAATTGGATGAAGAGCTTCTCATGACATGGTTGGTTCAAGTGTTATATTGTGTTACTTTTCACTTTGTATTTCATTTGTTCATGCGCTTGCAATTCAATTAATTTATGCCTAATGGAGGTTGTGGTAGGTCTGGGGTTCAAATGCGGCGAAATTCATGGCAAGATGGAGTCCTTGGCACAAATTGTCCAATTCCTTCCAAATGGAATTGGACATATCAGTTTCAAGTCAAGGATCAAATTGGGAGTTTCTTTTACTTCCCTACTCTTAATTTGCAAAGAGCCTCTGGTGGTTTTGGCCCCTTTGTTATCAATAATAGGGAAGTTATCCCAATTCCTTTTGCACAGCCAGATGGTGATATTTTTATAATGATTGGTGATTGGTATACTCAAAACCACACGGTTAGTAATTGTCTTATGTTAATCTTTCTTTTGTGAATATTGGAGATGGGGTGCATTGTGATGTGTGTATATATATATTTATATTTAATTCTATTGTGCATACATATTTGAAAGTGTAGGCTCTAAGAGCAACGCTTGATAGTGGAAAAGACCTTGGAATACCAGATGGTGTTCTTATCAATGGGAAGGGACCTTACCAGTACAATGCTACTCTTGTTCCTAGTGGCATCAATTATGAAACAATTACCGTTGATCCAGGTATTATTTTCACTGCTTTTATTAAGGGAACGGACTTTTATATTTTACTCTCTCAAAGGTATATCATTAGTTCAATGATGAAGCTTGTGTGTTTTATCTCCTCATTTTCGTGGAGATCCTTCCAGCATGCATTAATCATCTAAACCATTTCCTTTTTTTGTCTGTACTTACTATAGAGAATTTGCTTTTCATTGTTTCCACTGGTTTATTAAGCTGTTTTGTTTGAATAGTCCTTTCCTCTCTGTAACATGATCTTATTTACACTGTCTCAAAGGATCATGATCATTTGCATTTTCATTTCCTGATTTTGATTATTGTATGATTCTGTTAGCATGGGGAATGTATATTTTTTTGCTTCCTCTTTTTAACTGAGCTATAGTATTCTGGGTCCCTATTTTTGGAAGATAACCATATTGTGAGTACTAGTAATGATTTTGAAGTCTGCTGTGATTAATGGTGCTTTAAAGCATGGTAATATAGATTGGGCACTCCCTGGCTTCATGGATTTCGTAAAACCCCATGTCAAGTTATTTTCCCCCTTTTGATATGTTATCATAGCCTTTTATCTAGCATTTCCCTTGATAACAGTTGAGTATTGACTGAAAGTACAAATTACTTGGCAGGCAAGACTTATCGAATTCGTGTCAACAATGTGGGCATTTCGACTTCTTTGAATTTCCGAATTCAAAACCATAATCTACTGTTGGTGGAGACAGAGGGGCATTACACAACTCAAACGAATTTCACCAGTTTCGATATTCATGCTGGCCAGTCTTACTCTTTTCTGCTTTCTACTGACCAGAATGCTAGTACAGACTACTATATTGTTGCAAGTGCCAGGTTTGTGAATGAATCATTGTGGGAGAAGGTTACAGGTGTCGCAATTTTACACTATTCAAATTCCAAGGGTTCAGCCAGTGGTCCTCTTCCTCCCCCACCAGATGATTTTTATGACAAGACAGCTTCAATGAACCAAGCAAGAAGTATCAGGTTTGTCACTCAGAATTTGATATCAGACGATTTTATTAAAGGAATTGGAATTCAATGTTTCATTATGCTTTGAACTATTTTTCCTTTGTTTTATCTATCTTATCTTTCCTTGTAAAGGGAACATTTTATTTTGTTTATATGGTATTCAATCTAACTTAAGTGATTGCTCGGTGATAGTCATTGTAAATGAGGTTCACAGTTGTAACCAGTCATAGGAATTCAGTGATAATTCAACTTGTTTTATAATAGATCAGCGTAGATTAGTGCAATTTGCTATAGGTGTAAATAAGTGAAGAGCATCATTTAAATCTATATGTTGGTCTTAATAATTATATACCTCATTTAACGTCTCACCTTTTTTCTAAATTGAAGGCTGTTTCGGGAGCTAGGTGGTAACTCACCTTGTACAATGAAGTGAAAAATTATAAATTGGAATAGTTTTGCCAAAAGCATCTGAAATAGTTTATTATGAAAGATCATAGAAGATTGTTACATTGTATTATATGACTTAAATAATTAAATTTAGAAGACAACCATTTCGGTTTGTGTTTTGTTCATTATTTTTGATGATTTCACATATAAGTTGACTATTATGTACTGAATTCTCTATATGATGCTATTGAGCAGGCAAAATACTACTGCTAGTGGTGCCCGTCCTAATCCTCAGGGATCCTTTCACTATGGCTCCATCAATATAACTGATACTTATTTGCTAAAGGCTACATCGCTGGTGCCAATTAATGGCTCTAATCGAGCTACTATTAATGGGATCTCATTTCACAAGCCCGACGTTCCATTCCGGCTTGCCGACAATCACAGCTTGAAAGGAACATATAAGCTTGATTTTCCAAGCAAGCCAATGAACAGAACACCAATAATTGACAGATCAATTATTAATGCTACATACAAGGGTTTCATTGAGATTATATTGCAAAACAATGACACCACTATTCAAAACTTCCATTTGGATGGTTACTCCTTTTTTGTAGTAGGGTAAGAATCCCTTTTCCTTCCTTTTGTCTTTAGAGTACAATATTGTTTGTGATCACAGGTCATAAATTGGTTTCTTGAATTCAGGATGGACTATGGTGATTGGACAGAAAATTCTAGAGGTTCTTATAACAAGTGGGATGCAATATCTCGCTGTACAACTCAGGTAAGAAATTGTCGCTCTAAATGTAAAAGGGTGATGATGATGGGATTGGACTATCTACACTACAACTTTTCATGTGAATTTATGATGAAAATTTCCGAATTCATGAAAGCTTTAAACTTTGATGGCTAAAGACTTGGTGTGAGATTGTCAGAAACTGAAAATATGCTTGATTTCTAGTCAAATAGGTTGAATTTAAAACTTGTTTAAGTGTTTTAAGAATTCTGTATGTTTTTCACCTGCTAGCTGAGGCATAGGGGAAATGATTCTTAGCATATTTACTTACCACCAAACAGGTTTTTCCTGGAGGATGGACAGCGATCCTTATATCGCTGGACAACGTTGGATCATGGAACCTGAGAGCAGAAAACCTGGACAGGTGGTACCTAGGCCAAGAAACTTATCTGAGGATCGTCAATCCGGAAGAAAACGGTGATACGGAGATGGCTCCGCCGGAAAATGTTCTATATTGTGGTCCCCTCAAATACTTGCAGAAGTACCATATATCCCATGCTACATTATTGACTTTGGTTTAGTTCCTTTGTCTTCTCTCCTAAAGTTTACTTTGTTTTTACCTGCAGGACAAATTCTCAGTTTTCTGCAGCTTCTACCTTGGGACATAGCTTGAACCTTTTCACATTGCTCCTGGGAGTTTTTGCTGTGATTTTTCTTATCCTAGCTAGCTAAGTTTCTGTTCTGCTCCATTGACATTTATACAGTTCCCAACAACGTAGTTATAGGATTGTGAGAAAGCTTGATTACTTATTCCTTTGTCTAAAGAAAGTACAACTGCTTTTTGTTTAGTTATGTCATGCTTTGTACACATTTTTCTTTGTTTACATGTTAATCACCAAAAGCTCATTTAAGGCTATCTGGGTTTGGTAAGCTTTAAATCCAGGGTAGACTACAAATTATGAGGTACTCAAATTTTAACTCAATCCAGAATTTCATGTCATGTATTGTACTCAAATTTGGGTGCATTCTTTGTTACAAATCAAAGTTGCTCATTAAGGAATCCAGTTTAACAATTACGGTTTATTTTCTTTGTAAAAACAAGTTGTCAAAAAAGTCTTTTAATCGTAGAAATTTGTTCTATTAGTAATTTTCTGTTGTGAATTATGAGTTGGAAGGCGTAATAAATAAAAACTTCTATTGAAAATTATGGTAGCAATGTGTTAGAAATCACATTAACAGGGTGCACGAATAAGACTTCATTTTTGATTTCTTGAACAATGTCAAGACAGTTGTTAGCGTTCTTTGTTCACAAGTGTTCTGTGAAAGACAATTATTTAAATTGAATCTTTTCAAACAAATCAAGAAATTTTATCAACTTTATGTCAATATGGCAATAATAATTTAAGTAATGATAACCCCATGTTATGTTTGTTTTAGTTTAGTATAACCATTTACCGAATATTAATATGGCTTGAGTTTAAAACTGGTTGGCAATTTTCCCTAATGAAAATGGACGAGGTTAGATGTTTTAATCAGGAACTCGTTAAAGAAGAAAAGATGTTTCTAATCAGGTAGTTCACATTTTCCCTATTTTAGAGATCAATGTGAAAAACACAATATCCACAATAAGCAATTAGATTATAATACTAACTTTTATATTCAGCAAGTTATGAAAAAAAAAAATAGTTGGCAACCTATCTCTTAGAATCCATCCGACAAGTTTTTATTTTGAGTAATTAGACTAAGATTCGTTTAAATAAAGTCATACACTTGAGTCATGTAAAAAATAACACATCATTTAAAAGTTTAATAGTGTGTTTGGATGGAGAATTTAAATAGAGTAATTTATTTATTTGAAGAATTTCAAATTTTTTGAGGTGAAATACCTTGTTTGGATGAGGAATTTATAAGGAATTTGAAATTCAAGCATTTGTGAAATTCCTTGAAATAGTAGAATTTCAAATTCTCCCAAAAGAGTAAGAATTTGAAATTCCTCATATTTTTTTCTTCTTATTTCACTTATATATTTTATCTTATCTCTTATCTCTTCATGTTTTTAATTATTGGATATTCAAAAATATTTTTAAAATTATTAAATATTATCTAATATTAATTTTTAAAATTATTAAATATTTAAAAATTAGCAAATATTTGTTTTTATAAAATTTAATTTAAAAATCTCAACATATAAATATATTTTTAAAATCAATTTTATCATGATAGAATCAAATTATCATATCCAACCTAACAATTTAAAATTTGATAAATTTGAATTGACTTATCCAAACAAAATATTTTAAGAATGATAGAAATTGAAATCAAAGTAATTCAAATACCAAGAATTTAAAATTCCTTGAATTTGTAAAATT